CTCCTAGGAGGTATGACACTCCACTTCCTGTCTGTTGTACCTCTCCTAGGAGGTATGACACTCCACTTCCTGTCTGTTGTACCTCTCCTAGGAGGTATGACACTCCACTTCCTGTCTGTTGTACCTCTCCTAGGAGGTATGACACTCCACTTCCTGTCTGTTGTACCTCTCCTAGGAGGTATGACACTCCACTTCCTGTCTGTTGTACCTCTCCTAGGAGGTATGACACTCCACTTCCTGTCTGTTGTACCTCTCCTAGGAGGTATGACACTCCACTTCCTGTCTGTTGTACCTCTCCTAGGAGGTATGACACTCCACTTCCTGTCTGTTGTACCTCTCCTAGGAGGTATGACACTCCACTTCCTGTCTGTTGTACCTCTCCTAGGAGATATGACACTCCACTTCCTGTCTGTTGTACCTCTCCTAGGAGATATGACGCTCCACTTCCTGTCTGTGGCAGCTTGTTTCAGCTTCCTTCCTCTCCCTGCAGGGGGATCCTGCCTATGAGCAGCCGGAGCGTCCTGAACCACAACCAGCAGGTGGGCGGTCCAACGGGTCAGACGGGCGGGTTAGGAGGAGGAGGAGGAGAGAGAGGAGGTGGAGGTGGAGGAGGAAGGAGCGGCACCATGGGGAGTCCCAGCCGGTCGTCTCCAAGCATCATCGGGATGCCAAAACAGCCGACGAGGCAGCCGTTCTCCTTTAACAGGTGAAGTACAAACTGTTTACCTTGTGTTGTTGTGTTGTTGTTTACGTTGTGTTGTTGTGGGAACCTAATGTTGTTTTTATTTCCTGTGTTTTGTTATTTTGTTTCTGTTTTCCCTGAGCAGGAATCCAGGCTTCAACATGAACAGCTCGTTATCCAGCAACATCTTTAACGGCACAGGTGAGTCTTTCAGACTCACAACTGAAGCACAACTGTTGTTACACTCTGACCTCCTGTTTCCTGTTTCCTGTTTCCAGACGGCAGCGAGAACGTGACGGGTTTGGATCTGTCCGACTTCCCGGCGTTAGCCGACCGGAGCCGGAGGGACGGTTCCAACGCGGCGCCGCAGCACAACCCGCTGGCCGGCCGGGCGCCTTACGGTAACACAACCAGCAGTGTGTTCTGTAACAGCCGCACACTTCATGTTTGTTTACATCTTCACTGCTCCTCTCCAGTCGGCATGGTAACCAAGCCATCCAGTGAGCAGACGCAGGACTTCTCCATCCATAACGAGGACTTCCCAGCTCTTCCTGGCCCCAACTACCAGACAAAAGACCCCACCAGCACCAACGAGGACAGCAAAACGGTTAGTCTGGAGGTTCACCACATTCTCACTGTAGTTCTGTCTGGATCTGACTATTTAACTGCTGTTTTAGCTGTTCGTAGCTGCTGCTGGCACTTATTTACTTTTATTTGCAAAAATATTCTGAATACAAATACATACTAATACTCAATTTACTTTATTTAAATGCCTAAAACATTTTTCTTTTTTGAAAATGTTCCTCACATTCTTGCTAATACTAACAAGACAGCTAAGGCTAATTTACGTGTCTGCTAGCATTACTACACCTGAAGCCAATTATGCTACAGCTAACATTACTAGAGCTAAAGCTAATTACATCACAGCTAACATTACTAGAGCTAAAGCTAATTACATCACAGCTAACATTACTACACCTGAAGCTAATTATGCTACAGCTAACATTACTACAGCTATGGCTAATTATGCTACAGCTAACATTACTACATCTGAAGCTAATTATGCTACAGCTAACATTACTACAGCTATGGCTAATTATGCTACAGCTAACATTATTACAGCTAAAGCTAATTACATCACAGCTAACATTACTGTAGCTAAAGCTAATTGCACCACAGCTAACATTACTACACCTGAAGCTAATTATGCTACAGCTAACATTACTACAGCTATGGCTAATTATGCTACAGCTAACATTACTACATCTGAAGCTAATTATGCTACAGCTAACATTACTACAGCTATGGCTAAT